GTAGCATACGTAAAGTATATGAGACATAAAAATATTAACGCTTTAGCGAGAAAATTTGAAAAAGAGAGGAGAATATAATTACCAATATTCTGCCACCCACTCTTCTCTCTCCCTCTCTTGGTGCCTCATTATGTTTTCACATCATGAATTTAGTGCAAGAAACCACCAGCAAGAAGAATCGTTACGGCAGCGACACGAAATTCTATTTTCTAGACTCGTTAAAGGTACTGCACTGCGAAAAACTTTAGACTGTGAACGGGATATTCCATCTGTGTGACGTCATATTATTCGTACATTCCTCATTCTCCGCCTAAGTATAAATTCAACAAACCACTTGACAATGCGGTGGCAGGGAGATATCCGGCGTCTGAAAGAGAAAGACAGACTGGGAGATATTAAAAGAAAAAAGAGGAAAACAAAATCATATGTTCACATGAAGGCGGACTGGAATTCCTAAAAGTAAGTGCAAGGAAGGAAGAAGATGTACTGAGTGTAAATTTGAAAACATAAAATACTCCTTTCTGTTGCACATATGTGCAGAAACATGCAATTTGTATGTCTTGCAACTTCAGAAACCTTGTGCAGGCAAGAGAGGAGTGGTTTATGTGCAGGCAAATTACGTAAATATTATGTTTCAAATAATGTTGGTACTTAGAGGTCTCACTGCTTCATTAAGACATGCGTATTGTAGTAGATTCTGTGGACGTATAGCCCTTATTGACATGGACTCACATTTCGGTCTGTACGCACGTAACCCGAGATATCTAGGATTGCAGTGATTGTCTTTTTGGACATTATCCACCATCCTATTTTCATTTACAACGTCGGAGACTGGGATCAGCCTCCATCCACAGGTAAAAATACTATTCATTTCGGCCCAATCGATAGAGCTACTCATATCGATATCAGAATTAAGACAAGGCAGGATATATAAGCCCAACACAACATAAATCACCTGCGAGAGTTAAGACAAATTTTCAAAATGTCACCTGAGTGAAGCCTAGTAACTATGATCTGAAGTAGAAATTAAAACCATATAATCGGGTTCGAATCTCGGTCGGAACATTGAGATGTTTCGATGCTACGAACATCCGAATAAAGTATTGTTAATTTCTTAAAAAAATATAGTTTGAGATCCGAAATTAATTCTGTGGTTATTAGAAGATGACTACATTATGGAAATGCATATTATTCACTTTGAAAAACGTTATCAACCCGACTGCTTTCAAAAACTAAAAATCGCTCTACAGAAAACGTTTAATTTTTCCACGTGCTTTACACGGTCCCTACGCAATGTCTATAATTTCGAGGAAAGAAAGTGAACAATTTAGGATATCATCCGACGAGGGGCGTCGTATTTTACACGAGCCAAAATCAAAGTTTGCTGGGATGAAACACCATGAAGAGTGGTGCATAGATTTCTCCGAAACGTTAGAACTTTCCTACCAAACTGCACTGAATGTTATCCGAAAAGACCATAAACTGAACATTTACTACCGTGAGAACCGCAAATCCCGTTTATATAGAGGTCGCCTATTGTTGTTATTCTGTGGGCGGTTAACCTTTTCAATATCGATCCTATATAGCATAGGATGGTCGGATTATATACTTACTTACTTCTTATGGAGCTGAGCCCTTCTTGAGGAGAAGCCATATCTGCAGCTACTCAAGAATTTCCCAGCATTTTATGGAACCCGAAGGTTCATTACTGTGTTCACAAGAGCCCTTCATTGGTCCTTATCCGGAGCCAGATCAATCCAATCCATACCATCTCTTCCTATCTCTCTAAGATACATTTTAATATTGTCCACTCACTTACGTCTTGGTCTTCCCAGCAGCCTCTTTCCTTCTGGCTTTCCCACCAATATCCTATAGGCATTCCTCTTCTCACCCATTCGTGCTATATGCCCTATCCACCTCATCCTCCTTGACTTGATCATTGTAATTTTACTTGAAGAAGAGTACAAATTATGAAGCTCCTCATTATGCAGTTTTCTCCATCCTCCTATCACTTCATCCCTCTTCGCTCCAAATATTCTACTCAACACCCTGTTCCCAAACACCCTCAATTTATGTTCCTCCCTTAATGTCAGAGACCAAGTTTCACACCCATACAGAACCACAGGCAAAATTATAATTTTGTGTATTCTGATTTTTATGTTTTTGGACAACAGACGAGAAGACAAAAGGTTCTGGACTGAATGGTAGCAAGCATTACCCGAGTTCAATTTCCTCTTAATTTCCTCCTGAATCAGGTTTCGATCTGTTATCGTTGTTCCAAAATATCTGAACTGTGCCACATTTTCAAAACATCTGTTTCCTATCTTTATGTAATGATTTTGCCCTGCATTTTGGTGACGAGACAGCAACATATACTTAATTTTCTCTGTGTTTACTTCTAGACCAACCTCTTTACTTGCGTCAGTTAAAATTTGTGTGTTTTTCTTTATGATATCTATATTATCACCCAGTAGACTCACATCATCAGCATAGGCCAACAGCTGATGTGTCCCGTTTAATTTCAGTCCCACCTGGTTTTCCTGGACCTTCCTAATAGCATATTCTAAAGCAAAGTTGAAAAGAAGTGGCGATAAAGCAGCTCCTTGTCTTAGACCATTCTGGATAGGATATTTATCGGACAAATGTTTATCTACACGGACTTTACTATACGTTTCCTTTAAACACATTTTAATCAGCTTAACTAGTTTCATGGGTATCCCAAACTCTATCAGAATAATGTACAATACTTCCCCCCAAACCGAATCATAGGCTTTCTTGAAGCCTACAAATACCTGATGCACTGTCTCATTGTACTCCTATTTTTTCTCCAATATTTGACGAATGCAAAAGATCTGATCTGTAGTTGACCTGTTGCATCGAAACCCACACTAATGATCCCCAATAAGTTCATCCATCTATGGACTTAACCTTGAGAGAAGAATATTGGATAACATTTTGTATGAAGTTGATAGCAGCGATATGTCCCGGTAATTACTACAGTCAGCTTTATCACCCTTCTTGTGAACGTGCAGTAATAGATTCATTCCTCTGATCAGCAAATTTTTCCTTGTACCAAATAGAAGTAATTAGATTGTGGATCTTAGAACGTAATATTTCTCCGCCTGCTTGATGAAGTTCTGCCGGAGTTTGATCACTACCTGGCGATTTATACCGTTTCAATTTTGCAATAGCACTTTCAACCTCAAAAGGGCTGCGATCAGGCATTAACGGCTCAACTGTATCGATTTCTGTCTGCCTAACATCACTGACCCTATGTACATTCAATAACTGAGAGAAGTAGTTCCTCCACCTATTCAAAATGTTGTGGGTATCTGCAAGCAGATCACCATTCTCATCCTTCACTAAGTAACTTCTAGGTTGGTAACCCCTCTTAAAGTCATCTATTCCTCTATACAGGTCCCTAATGTTCTTCTTCTTACTGCTCATTGCAAGCTCATCAGTTTTGTCTTTCAGATATTCCCTCTTTTTGTTCCTGAAATGCCTGCTGATTTCACGTTTAGATTATCCCCATTTAACTCGCTTGGATCCTGTAACCATTGCAATTTGACCTGCTATCTTTGATCTAATAAATTTGAGCATCCTTCATCGAACCATGGCTTATGCTTCTTCGGTTCATAATAACCTAGACTCTCTTCGGCGGATATTTTTATATTCTCTCTAATAGTTTCCCAAGCTTTATTAACGTCCACCTCAGTGTCCAAGTTTTCAAAAGCCATGAACTTATTTGAAATTTCAACACGATACTGCTCTTTACACTCTGCCTCATTTAACTTCTTGAGATTGAACCTCTCCATGTGAACTCTGTGTGTTGTTTGTTTGCTCACTTTCCCTAACCTTTGCCACCAACAGGTAGTGGTCAGTATCACAATCTGCTGCCCAGAATGATCGGACATCAAGTATACTTGAGTGCCGTCCCCTGTATGAATGATAAGTTGGAAAGGAATTGGAAGCAACGGTTATGGGCTGACCGAGGTATTAACCCGTCGTTTGTTTGGAGAACTGAGGGAAGCTAGGAAAAACCTCAGGATAGCTGGTGTCTTGGCCGAGATTCGAACGGAGCACCTCGCAAACAAAATTCTAGACCAGTATATTCAGTGTCACCCAATACTGTCACGATATTTAAACATACTAGGTTATAAGGGCTTGGATACCTACCTACCTACCACTCGGCGCTACAGCCTTGGGTGAGCCTTGGTCTCCTTTACAACCGGTCTCCACTGCTCTCTATTCCTCATCTTCTCTAGCCATCCTTTCACCTTCATCTTCTTCAGGTAGTTCTCAACATCTTCTAGCCGTCTCATCCTGGATCTTCCTTTTCCTCTTTTGGAATATAGCCTTCCTTTTGATATATCATTTCTTGGGCTACTTCCTGCATCTTTCCGGGTTGCAGCATTGTGCGTACATTTCAAGTTGCCATCACAGTATCCTTTGATTCGTCCGTTTCCGAAGCTGGTTGTTAAGATTTCTGAACAAAATGATTTTTACAGGATGAGGTTGTTATCCCAATGCCCTGTCCCAAACCTGAAGGACCAGAGTATCTCTCTGAATCTGGACTGTACCCTTTGACCTTTCCCGCACGGGTGACCCTAACAGTAGTTAAACTACCTCCTGCATAGCTCTCCAGGTCACAGAGTCACGCAAAGGGGCTGGGATGGTGTAGATGAATTATGCATACAGAGTTTTGTCGGGGAAAACTCTATTTCGAAGTTTGAGGAGATGGAAACAAAACATTAAGATGCCTCTTAGGGAAATAGGTTGTGAGATTGGGAACCTGATATAACTGGCTCGAGAGTATGTCAAAGGGTCTTGGTAGTTTTATGGACCTTCTGATGCTAATTTGGTAGTCTTAGTTAGTGGTGAATTGCCAGAGTTTATTTCACTGTACTTGTTACATAAATGAACCGTTAATAAATAATAAATCTACTCTTGAACAAGCGGTTGTCACAATTTGTACTTTCCATTGCTTTTCCTTGTTGCAGGGGAATATCCCGCGGCGATGCAACATGGGGGACAAGCGCATCATCGCTCATCACATCTCTACTGTTTAATATTCTGCGTGTGCCTGTTGCTGTTAAGTCCCTAACACGTAATAAGTGCAGTGGAACAGGTTTATGTTGCATAAGCAACTGAGAGAATCGAGAAGACGTATTTATGAAACCTTACAGTGACAGGTATAATTTTATGTCTCATTTATTTTGTTTGCTCATGACATACAGTTTCTTGACCATAACAAGAAGTCAGATTCAAGAGGAAGTGGCAGTGATACAGAATTAGTATACTACGCTTAAGTGCGTCAAAATAAGTGTATATACTTACTGTACAAAACAAATTAAAGAAATGTGGAAATTATACAGTGCTTGATCGAAGTGGTCGATGTAATATTACAGATTTAATATATATCTATTTTCTAAGTGCAGTCTCAGATGACTAAACGAGATGTGTGAAACACTATGACTTTTTTAACAAATAAGTACGACCATTATGTGGATAACTATGTTGCAACAACTCAGTTATGTATAAAAAATACATTTCGCATATATTAATATTCCCTATTTGTTCTCCAAGCCAGTTCTCGTATGTATCAAAGTGGACGGAAAAAGTGACAATATATTGGACAAGGAAAATCTGGTATAATTCATTCCAAGATTGAGGAATTTTATTATTATATTCTCCATAGTATAAAAAATCTTGCAACTTCTAAGTTCTTACTGAGAAAGAAATTCCCTCTACGGAACAAACTAACTAAATGAGTGAATATTTTTACAGTGAAACAACATTGATTTGATTAGATCATTGCCTCATTTGATTAACCAGGATCTGTGGTACCCATCATGAGTGACAAAGAGGAAAAAAATCTCCAGTATTTACACAGATCTTAGAAAAATCTTCCATAGGCATTTTCTGACAGAATGAAAAAGGACAAGAAGTACTCAAGTTTACTGAATAATAACAATACACTACTTTGACTTTGTCCAATTATAAGTGGCCTACAAGTTATATTCAAGAAATTATGTGGCAAGTTGATTAGAAGGAATATAGTCACAGATTTACTCTGCCTATGTGAGTGACTCAGTCCCATTTCCTAAAAGTGAATGTGCTTTTTTTTTCAAGAAGAGGAAGAAGAGATCATGAACAAAGACAGATATCGAGGGCCTAATAATAATGTTGGTTGGGAGAGGTAATCTTTCCTTCTACCAGTGTTCTTATTGTCGTCTTCAGAATTGGATTTTTCTTAATCTCAACAGTATACTATCCACGCCTTACTTCCTGCAGAAGTCTTAGGGTTTCCGCACACCGTTTCACGACATGACTACAGCGAGTCAGGAGTTCATTCAAGTAGATTATCAACAGGTGAGTCATTTATCAACTACAACACTAGGCTTAAGTAGATTAGTAGTAATGATAACACTTTCTCGAAACTTCTCCCCTCAGACAAGATGAAGTGCTGTGTATATGTTGTAAGGAACAGAATAGATACAATATTTCAGTCATAATGTTGCTCCAACAACTGTACTTGTTCGTCAATATATTAATACACACAGTGTATGTACACTGTCACTCTGTAACAAGTGGATTTTGCTTTCTGATGGGTGATTTGTTTTAGTTGGCCGCGTATCACTGATAAATGCTCGTATATAACAAGATAGATTATATGTGGAGGTAAATTGCTGGTATTTTCATTGGAAAGAGTATTTATAATTTGGTGATAACTATAAGGTCTGGATGGTGTATATTATTCAGAAACTTTCGCATTTCTCTCTGCCTTAATTTAAATTTGGCTCGATAGTAAAATAACTGAAAATAAAATACATCATGTGAGGGTGCATCTGATTGAGCCCACTCCTAGGGAAATACATAAGCACACTGAATCTCTAAAAGACTGAATGTATTCACAGTTCTGAGTGTTCTGGCTCTGTACAGATCTGTAGATGTCTATCAGTATACCCGTACGACAAGTTAAATCTGTCACTGAAGATACAGAAAACGCAGCTGAATATTAGATGTTAACAGTATCGTCTGCAGTAGCTAACTCTGCATAAGAACAGCCAGTATCACTTCTTTCATTTATAAAACTTGAATTGTTTAAATTGGATCGCCTCTGTGGTCCAGTGGTCAGAGTTCCTGCCTACAGATCCAGAGGTCCTGGGTTAGATTTCCAGCGCTACTAGATTTTCTGAGAAGTAGTGGGTCTGGAACGGGGTCCAGTCGGTCTCGTGGTGATAATTGAGGAGCTATTTCAAGGATAGAGCGGTTCCGGTCTAGAAAACCGAAATTAACAGCAGTGGGGATCCGTTGCGCTGACCACGAGACACCCTCTCTCCGCTAAAGTTGGCACTAACTTCGCCAACAAGTGGCGGTCGCTCGGTCGGTATAGTTCGCTTGCGGACTACAGGCCACGGAGTTTTTGTTTTTGTTTGAATTGTTTAAAATAATCAAGCAAAAAAAAACTTTGCAGAGACTGAGTATCACTGAAGAGGTATATTTTGAATTGTTATTGTTGTTGTTGTTGTTGTTCTGTTACGAACGCTTCTGTCTGGTACTCATACAGTGTTCTACAATATTTAAAAAAATACAGGTATAAAATTATTTCAAATGGTTCTGTTTAAAAGACAATTATCTCTATTACATACATTGTAATGATATAAATAAAGAGAAAAATAGTAAAGGTATCCCTGTAACAGGAGACCGTGGAGGCCCATAGAGTTGTGAGACGTCGAAGCTCCCACATTTTACCTAAACAATCGGCTCAGAGATGAAGGTGAGGTTGTCAGCTTCTCGTGCCGGCCGCCCTTTATTCCAGGAAGATTCCTGGTACTCATTTCTGTTAAAGTTTGAGTCGACCCCAAGACCATAGTGCGGCTGGAAAGATAAGGTCAATTAAAAAATCTAGTGACCTCATCAGGAATCGAACCCGCAACCTTGCGACTTGTAGCATAGTGCCTCAACGAACTACGCTACCGCTACTCCCACTTTTAATGATATATATATATATATATATACATGTCATTTAAAGTATTGCGGTCTATTCAGCGCTTGTCTATGTCATTATCTTTTAAAGCTGAGTGTAGATGGCTTTCTGTAACTCTGATATCTGTTGCTGTTATAGAGATGCACTTGGATGGTTGCGGCAGAAGTAGCTATGTAGTCTTTATATTCTCAATTTTCCTGCCAGGGGAACATACACGTACATAGTTGCTTTTTCTTGTTCTGGCCTATTGTACCAGCCCCAGATGATAGGTGAGGGTGATTGTGGGTCAGTTGGTGGAAAAAAGATTGGCAGGAGAAAACCTGCCCCAGCGCCACTTTGTCCACCACAAATCCCACTTAACCAGACCCCCGGAATCGAACCCAGGCCGCCGCGGTGGGAAGTCAGCGACTAACCGCTTGAGCTATAGCGCGGCCATACTTCTCCTGTTACCCTGTTAGGGTTTTATCTGATTTTTTATGATTTATTTCTTATATACGATTTTTGTCGGCACATTAAATTATTATTATTATCATAATTAACACGGCATTTTGACCTCTCAGCTGTGACGGGAATAAATTACACTTGGCGCATGGATATATTAGTGTCTGTGGAGTCAGCTCCCCACTAAATGAACCAGCACTGAGGCATTCCTCACAGTCTGAGATACCTGGGTATAGCGAATTGCTCCATAGTACATTTATAAATTACCACTGAGCCGTTAATCTATTTAAATTACCCTTCACTATCCAGGCTCCCCAACCATCTGCCCCCTGCCGTGACTCTAGTGGCTTTGTTTGCAAATCACGCATGAGAATCCCGCGGTTGCCGTCACCTGTCGCCACGTGCAGATCTCACTCGCTCCAGTAGATTAACTTCATCGACAAGAACTTAGGTACACTTAACTCTATAAAGCGGTCATCTTCTTGAGAAGCCACTCAGCTGGTCAAGAAATTCTCCGCATTTTATGAAACTCGCGTTAGCAAGAACTTGCCACTGACTGTGTTTCTTCAAGATTCATTTTAATATTATCCTCCCACCTACTCTTAGTTCTCCGAAGTTATGTCTTCCGTTCAGCCTTCCCGACTACATTTTTATATAATTCTGATTCCCCCCATATTTGTTGCATTTCTCATTCATATTATCGTTCTTGTTTTTACAGACTAAAAAGATTTAGTGAATATTTCAAGATTTGAAGCCCCAGCGCTCGGCGCGGTTTGCCATTTTCTTAATTATATGCAGAAAATTTTGAAATAAAAATACCTTCGTGTTTCACAGATAACGTATCAACTTTATCACTAGTTTATTGTATGCAAATGTGGTCAGGTTACAGACTGAACTACCTACCTGCCTCACCTGTATTATTATTATTATTATTATTATTATATAAACAAAGGACCAAAATTTAATTATTATACCTGTTCCCCTGATAGAGATAGCCCATCTGTACATGCGTTTTAGCTACTGATGTATGTAGGCACGTTGACGTACTAGGAGCAAGAACTGTTTCTCTTTACCATATTTTGTAACGGTACTTTATTAAGTGTTAAAATATTAATTGCATTTATAATTAATGTACATACATTCTCGCGGCGTAATTGTTGGCGGCTTCTCAAGAAGGGTTCAGCTTCGTGAGTGAGTGACTGATTTTTTTATTTCCTTGGCACTACAGCCCCAGTCTGCCTAGGCCTACCTCCATGAACTCCGTTCACTTCGGTTTTTCTAGATCTTACACATATGGTAGGACTCCTTGGGCGGGTGATCAGCTCATCGCAAGGCCTCTATCTGTACACAAACACAGAAAAACACTAAACATCCATACCATTAGTGGAATGCGAACCCACGATCCCGGCTTCCGAGCGAGCGAAGACAGTACAAGCCTTAGACCGCTCGGCTACCGTGACCGGCTGAGTGACTGATTTGCCCATACTTATTTACTTACATCAAATATCAGTGAAATTAG